TAATCACCCATCATGGCTGCATCCCAGAAGCCGTGATACCGCCGCTCCATATCCTTCATTTGCTGGTGAAAACGTTCTCTGAGCTCATCACTAACGCCGCCCAGATTGTCCGGGTTATTTACGCACTCGAACTCTCTACTTCTTTTACTTATTTTACACTTTTTATTAACTAAATAAAACCATGATAAAAATACTCTATTAAAATATCAAAAAAAAGCAAAACAATGTCACTATGCCAACACGAGAAACAAAAGAATTCAAGTTTGCGGAGTCATGTCAAATTTAAATTTTATATGTTTTCGATGAAAAAAGTACGTAAAAAACTGAAAAAATTCCACTTTAATTAGGTTTTTATTAAAAAATAAACATATTACCAAATAAAAGAAAAAAATAAAATAAAAATCGTTAAAAAGCTGAATTTTGGTCTTCCACTAAAAAATTCATAACTTCGCCATTTTTTTCATATATTTTTATCAATATTAGCTTGTTTTTTTTGTAAAAATGTCAGCTTCACGAAAAAAAATTCAAACTGGAGTTATCTGTTTAATTTAAACCTTTCCCAGGACGATATGTAAATTTTCGACCTCAATTGTTGCCATGCATAAAAACGATTTTTTGAAGTTATTAAAATCGCTAGCGTCAAAATACTTCCGATATCAAAAGTATGTAAAATAAAGTTTTAGAGGTCTCAAATACCTTCAATTTAAGGGCTTGTTTGACCCAATCGATCAATTAGATTTCAAGCTATACTCAAAAACGTCAAAACACCTCCGAAAATTAAAAAAAAACAATTGAAAATTCATATTTCAAAAACGCTTACATAAAAATTCAAATCGATCAATTAGATTTCAAGCTTTACTCAAAAACGTCAAAACACCTCCGAAAATTAAAAAAAAACAATTGAAAATTCATATTTCAAAAATGCTTACATAAAAATTTTTGTTGTTGTGATTTTCGAGTTTAGTGGGTCAAAATACATGGAAAAATTATAATGGGATATGGTGGGCAGATTTTTTTTTTGATTTTGTAAACTAGTGTTATTAAACACGCCGTACAAAATTAAAAATCTGTCTGTCTGAAATAAACCAAAAAAATTAGTAGGTAAATCCCATAATAAATATACCTGTGTTAAAGAATAATATATGTGTATAATTTAAAATTTGGAAAGGATTAAAAGATTTTGGGTATAAAATTATTGAAAACAGTTTGAATCTCAATAAGCAAATGCAAGGCTTTATAAAATGATTCGATATTGGCAATGAAAATGAATAGTTTAAAACGTGCGCTGCACAGAGAAATGCAAACGCATCGGACCGCCAACGCTGCCTCCGATACGAATAAAACTCGATTCGCCACTTTTTTTCATTTGCGAAATATAAAGCTTTTCAATTTTATTATATTGGTAAGCTGCAATTGTTTTCCAATTAAATGGCTGAATAAACACAATAATTTTCTAATTAAATTTCGTGCATGTCTCGAATTTCGATCGTAATCACGTAGGCCATTCTGAACGATTGGCCGGCCATCTGGTGCACAAGTAATAACATCATTTTTCGAACGGTTTGGAAAATACAAATTAAAAAATCACAGGAATTCGGAAGCCATCAAAGCTACGCTCAATCAACGAATTCTGTCGGCTCGACGAACTTTAACTGGTTAAGAAAATATCCAATTATAATTCGCTCGAGTTTATCCAAGGTTTAAAGCTTTTTGTAAACCATTTACCTATACATTATGTGATGCTGAACATACAGCCAACACAAGTTTGTAATGTGCAAGTAACAACATGTGTTATTAAGAAATTTGTATGTTTTATTTTGGGATTAAATTATTACTTACTGCTAACTTTGGGATTAATTTGCTGGGTGGAGGCCTCCGGAGGGTAGCGCCAACTGTGCCAAAGCTTTGTACTACCTTCGAGATCCATTTTTCCTAGATATCTTAAATGTTTTACAGCCATCTGAGCGCCCAAAAAATAAATTGTATGAAAAAAGCATTGAACAATAATAAACACTCAAAATGATGATATTTTATATTTTATAATAGCAATATTGCATATCAATATGTCTATGATACAAACCTTTTGGATATCGATATCCAAAAGGTTTGTATCATAGACATATTGATATGTAGATGGTTAGATTTTTAGTGGCTTTTAATAGTAGGGTCAGTGTGGAGTAGGGTATTTAAAATATACGATACCATAGACATTAAAACGTTCACGTATTGTCAACTAAATAAAATAAAGGTTATTTCAAATTTTTCTTAATCATTTGCTTACATCGCCTAGGTTAAGCTTAGGTACATAAATTTCTTTGGTTTGGCTTTATAAAAAGCAAAAAGTGGCATAATATGCATATAATATGTTTATTTTATATTTTAATATATTTTGATATTTTTACATTATGTTTGATTCTTTTTTTGTTTATAAATTATTTGTGTTCAATGTTATTTTTGTTCCTGATTTATTCGCTAACGTATTGTAAATAAAATAATTTTAATTTTAATGCTATTTTTATTTAGTTTTAACATTTTTATTTTTTATTTTGTTTTAACATCTATAATATCTACCAAAGATCCTACTTCGTAATTGAATCGGTAAAATTAATAATCAGGGGCGTAGCTACCGCGGTATCAGCCGTATCAATAATACGGGGCCCCCGGCTAGGGGAGGGGCCCGATTGACTTCGACATGCGTAAGAAAAAACATATATATTATTAACATGTTAAAAAAATTGAGGCATGAAATTAAATAAATAATTAATATTATTATTTAATTGTTTATACTTCGATTTATTAAATTTTCCTGAATACCCTCATGTTCTAACGAGGCCGTGAACTCATACGAATTGTTTCTGACCGCACCTTTCCGCTATGCGTTGTCTGCGGCGCAGTCTGCTCAAATTGTTCTGTGCGTTTGCACCGCATACTGAGTCTGCTTTGCGTGTTATTATCATAGGTTATATTAATAGCAAATTAGAAATAATTATTAGCGTTACAATTATTTCAAATGACTTGCCTTTATTTTAAAATTGAAACCAATAAAAGATGTTGAAAAACGGTAAATGTCTAAAACCAGACCAAATTATAAAATTTGCCTATACATTAAATTATTTATTAAATTTTAAAAAATTGGTAAATGCAAAAAATACCCTAAAATTTTTGTTTTGTTTGCCCAAAATAGACTTTGGGCGTAACACCCAGAATTTTTTTTGCCGTATAAGAGCCCCTACCAGATTTTTAATACGGGGCCCCCCTCGCCAGTGTTAATAATTCAAGTCCAAAATTTTTATTTTGACAAGTCATTTTCTAAAATCAACTTAAAAGTTTAAAATGCATTTTTATGAGAAGATTTACATTATTTTATAAAATATGAACATTTCGAATCGCGGCACATTTGTCAATTAAGCGATCATGCGCAGTAAGAGGAGCCGCCAGTGGCATTTAGCGTCTCGTCATAAGTGTACGTATTAATTTCTCTATCTTATGTTATGTGATGTCTATGGCACTGAATATTCTGTGTCTATGGTATCATATATTTTAAATCCCCCACTTATGAACTGACTATGCGCATAAAGCAAAATGGCACACGAAAACAACAAATTTTCCCTCATGTGTGTGGAAGTATGTGCTTTTTAACACATACTTCCACAAATTTTCCCTCATGTGTGTGGAAGTATGTAGCTTTTTAACACATACTTCCACACATATACAAATCATTTCTAACTGAGACTGTTTCCATTTCGTGGGGGTAAAGTAGGGGAAATGTTCTCACAGGGTAGCGGGCATTGAGGCGCATGCGTCAGCTGCATTGCCGGTTTAAAAAAAATAACATATTTTTGTCCCTATTTAAGAAGTATAATAAATACTTTTTAATAAATTGGATATAAATTGTATGAAAAAAGCATTTAACAATAATAAACTCACAAAATGATGATATTTTAGATTTTATAATGGCATTTTTATAAAAGCAAAAATTTGGCAACATCGTATTTTGATCACGATTATCGTATCATAGCCAAAAGATTTTTATGGTAGACATATAAATATGTAGATGGTTATTATAATTATCAATTTTGTTTGTTTTCTGTTGTATACCAATTGTTTTGGCATTGTTTTTTTCCATTGTTTTTACGAGATTTTGGTGAATTTTACATAATATGTAACCAAGTTGTAACGTAACCGACTGGCAAGAGCAGATATTTGCTTGTTAAGGTAAGCAGGATACTTATAAGGCGCCAGATTATAAGTACTTGGGACTAATCTCAGGGAGTGCTAGGTTTCGAAACAACTTAGTGGAATATCCTTTCCAAAACGCTTTATTAAACAAGTTTTTAATGTGGCAAACAGAGGTGTTTAAATAGCTTAAATAGTTTTGCTTTTTATAAAGCCAAATCACAAAAATGTTTGTAAGCTTAACCCAGGCTATGGAACCAAATAATTTAGAAAAATTTTATATAACCTAAATTTTATTTAGTTGACAATTCGTATCATAAGTGGATTAATTTCTCTATCTAATGTTATGTGATGTCTATGGTATCATATATTTTAAATCCCCCATTTATGAACTGACTATGCGCATAAAGAAAAATGGCACACTACGAGAACAAATTTCCCCTTAGAAACGGGAACAAGGTCATCTATACAAAATATAGGCAATAAGCGGTATATGTGTGGAAGTATGTGTGAAATTATACATTATTCGCCATCTATATTATAATAGTACAATCTTTTTGTAATTAAATGCAGACATTTTCAAAATCTTGAAATTAAACTATATTCGCCATCTATATTACAATAGTACAATGGGTTTTAAAGAAACCTGTAAATCTTTTTGTAATTAAATACAGAATCATTGATTCTTCACTCAACAACAGAATTAAATTTAATCAACTTTCAAAATTTTTAAATTATAAATTATTTGCTATATTACAATAATACAATAAGTTTTAAAGAAACCTGTAAATCTTTTTCTAAATAAATGCAGAATTTAAACTAACCAACCCTTTTAAAATTTTCATATTTCCTCAGATAGCACTAGCATTGAGTCAATGGCACTATTTTGTTATTAAAGTAATCTTTACTTTTATTCTCCATAATCATAATAATTATTATTATGAACATAACTTTATGAAATAGGAAGAGATGTGCCACAAATATTTATTCTGTTAATTAATAGCACAATAAAACAATAATAAACACTATATTCTATACTTTTTTACAATTTCAACATCGAAATGGCTTAAAATCTGTACAGAAAATAAAATAATCAATAAACCACATTGCGTAATTAACGTAAAAGATAATATACATAAACTATACCTATTTTTACATGATTGTTACTTGGGAGTCCCAAGTTGGGAGTCCCAAGATGGGGGTCCCAAGTTGGGATAAAACATTGCAATATTTTTTGACATTTACAACAAAATACTGAGAATATTTAAAAGAGGATCTACATATTTATAATTTAGGATATGGATAATGGAATGATTTAGTGCTTAGAATATTGGGATGTAGTTGTCTATTTTGGCCCTGTGTTTTTGTGCGACACACTCAGCAATCCATACAATGTTGCGGCATTCCTGTTCTTTTAACTTCAAGTAGGAGTAGAACACTCCAAAGTGGAATTGTTGCATAAAAGCGTTAATATTTAAACGTACCTCATGTTCAAAGAACTTATCTTCCAAAGTTTTATCGCCAGGATTGTTTCCAGCTCCTTCAAACAATTTAGAATACTCTGCATAATATTCAGCAACAGCTTTTACTTGTTCATAATCTTCAGCACGAGCTAAAGCAGCCAAACCATCTGGGTTCAGTTTTCCACAACGAGGGTACAATTTAGCCCTATCATCTTTGCTTAACTCGGTACCAAAAGAGTTGATAGTAATAATAATAGCACGACGATCAGCTTCAAAAGCCAAAATTTCGCACATAGCATCGGCAGTTGTTCCTCCAATGTTGCTACAGAATTCATAGAAAGCCTCCAAATAGGCCTTGTAAAGAGTATTACGAATAATTTCAATGTTCATCTCATCTAAATCTTGTTCACTGATACAGTCAACAAAGAATGGAGCAAGTGGAGTGTCTACTAAAACAGCATTGTACAATTCTGCTGGAGTTGATGCAACATGAATAGCCTCCATCTGCTCAAAGCTGCCAAGGGGGTGACATTTTGGAATCAATTCACCAATTGGACGTTGATGTAATGTGCCAGTGATAAGTAAAATAATATTGTCAATCATGTAACTGTATGTAATGAAGTCCAAAAATGTTGAAAGAGGCTCAACAGCATGATTCCTCATATGCTGGAACTCGATGACGAGTTTTTCTCTTAGTTTGTTATCAATTGTTGATACGGCCAATGGAGAGGGCTCATTGGCCAAAAACGTACCATAATCGGTACCTTGAAGATGTAATTTAAGATCTAAAACAATAAAAACATAAGTATATAATTGATTACCTTGATCCATTTCATATTTACCCTCTAAAGTTTCGCATTGCACTAAATTTAGGTAATCTGTTTGCTTCAGAATGCCGCATTTAAAGCCCCGGCACAAACCCTCCAAATATCCACTGTCTATGTTAAATATAGCCCCCTTCATTTTAAACTAACTTTACGAAGAACGGGAACTCACAAGACACAAAATGTTCACCTCGCCCAAATGTCATATGATTCTTGTCAAAACTTGCGCATGCGCGACTAGCTACTGACATCTATTACGGATAGATGGAACCAGGGTGGAACTTTGGAGAAATTTCTTTTAAATTTACAGGTTTCTTTGAATAAAAAACGTTTTATTTTTTTATTAAAAATCTTTATTTTATTTTTATTTTATTTGATTTATGTAGTTTACCTACCTTGAAGAAGATGTCGCTGTTTAAGAATGACCCGTGTTTACATAAAGGCTATTTATATATTCTAAGTATTACTTGAACTTGTTGTCTTCTCGCAAGAGTTGATCCTTCCTGGGTACTTTGTATCCAAGGAAGTCTCCAACCCAACAAATTGGATTTAAATAGGTTATTTCATTATTTAATGTTTCTCCTATACAAAAAAGAAATTCTAATGTTAACTAAATAAAATTTCATTACAAAATAATGTTAGCCTCACAGAATACAATAGAACTAAAAGTTCCTATTCTAATATTGGCAACAAGGATTTTACAGGAGGTGGTCACGCTCTGGCCGGGCCCACAGAATACAATCTACAATATTCTTTTAATAAAAAACCTTTTATTCAAAGACAATAATTTTTACAATTAGATTTATAACAAGCTTAGTTTGTTTTAATCAACCCAGCCAACTTGACAACTGTATTTATAAATAAAAACTTACGCTGGTATACCAACCAAAACTCTAAATTTTCAACGTTGCCGCAGTCCAGATAAAAAAAAAGAACTTTAAGTAAGCGTAAGTTTTCCGGTCACAAATTTGTACTTTCCTAAAGGAATAATTATGTTGGTTCAACCAACATAATTTTTGGGGAAAAAGAACAAGAAATGTTTAAAGTTCAGTTTTTTTAATTTTTGGATAACTTATTTTAAATATGAATTTTCCAGTTTTTCAATCGTAAGATAAAAGTAAAGAAAAAGAGAATGAAGAGCCTAAAATTATCACCGCCCCAAAAATTACCTTAGAAAAGGGTAATTACCCTAAAATTGGCAGGACCTGTACAAATTGTACTGTATTTGTACTAGGGATTGCATTACCGGTTACCGGTTTACCGATTTACCGCCTTAAAAGTTCTTTAAATTACAGACAGAGAAATCGACATCTTTTACCGGTAATTTCGGTAAAAAATGCCAAGCTGACAACAGCGCGGATCCGTTGTTTTTGTGAAACAATTTGTACTAAGATTAGGTCGCGGCCCTAGACCTAGGTTTGGTCTAGGGTCGCGGCTAAGTGATAATAGTATTGATAAGCTGTGTTTTCTCAGGGCCCTTTTTATTACAAAAGAAATCGAAATAGTCGTTGGAAAAGTAAGAAACGATAGGTATTTTTTTATTTAAATTACTATTTCGAATGTTTTAGGGCCTGTTACTAGTCTTTAAGTTAGGTATACACGTATTAGTTTTTTTTTACCTAGAGTTTTACTTTTCTGTTGTTATTATTTAATAAGAATTAAAGTTTGGTTATTTATTTTGTTGCTTATTTCTTTGTTATTTTTTATGTCGGTAAAAACCGGTAAACCGGTAATTTTTTAAATAATTTACCGAATTACCGGTAAATTAAAATTCGGTAAATTTGCAATCCCTAATTTGTACTAAATCTATTTTTTTTATATACATCTAGTAGGTAGGTAGGTACTCTTGGATTAGGATCTAGGTAGTACTTTTTTAAAATATTGGCTCATTTGGCTGCCGCAGAATCCGAATTAGTCTAAAAATTAAATAATAATTTTATATAAATACATATTTACGCAACGCGTACGTAACGCAAAGGAACGCAACTATTAATACACATTTGGCAACATTGGGCATAATGATAATAGATGGAACGCAACTATTAATACACATTTAGCAACATTGGGCATAATGATAATAGATGGCGCTACCTTCTTAAAAGAGTTAACTAAGAGTGGGTTGTACCAGTCCGAGTTAACTCGTGTGTTTATTAAACTAAGATTAAAAATAACTCTGGATTATTCCAGTTACTCGTTGTACAAAACCATTGCAACACTGGCTTAGTTAATCCCTCGTTAATCCTAAATATAGCATTGTTGGTAGCACTGGTTTGTTTATAAGTAATTTATAATTTATTATTTACCATTTTTATTAAAAAAGATTACAATAACCGTGCAAGCATGCCATTATTGGCTTATACCAAAACCTAAACAAAAAAAAACCTTCTTTTCTAAGCTTCAAAAGTTTTGACTTTGTATTTAGGCCTGTTCAACTTAAGTTAGACCCTGCTAAACACATAATTATTGTGTGTTTAGCAGGGTCTATAGGGTTTGCAAGGAAAGTTATAAAATAACTTTTTACTGCATAGCCACTGTCTCCGACGATCTTTTCCAAATTCTTTATTTTCAAGCCTTACTTTTGGACGAGAATTGTTGAAAATGGTTGAATCGTTAGTGGATCCGTGCCAGCGACACAATATTCCTGAAAAGAAGCTAACTGTCACCTAGGGCTTGTAAATTGCATGAGAAGAAAACCTTCTTGTTAAGGAATATTTCGGCATCTTCGCCATTTCTATGAACTCCGGGCGCAACTCGGCAATAGTGGTTAATACGGTAGTTATAGCTCTGGATACAGTAACCTTATCACATCCACTTAGTTCGCCCAACTTCTTTTGACATTTAATTTCATTTTAAAATGAATTGTTTTCTTACGTATATATACACCCGGTATATATACCGGGTGTATCTGAGAATAGGCGCACCCCTGTAACTTTAATAGAACAATATTATTTTGTAAATAAAAACACGGCAACTGTCATATCCGTTACGCGTGGAATGGCCCCCATGCTAAATTTCATGTGTCTATCTTTATAAATAAAAAAGTTACAGGGGTGCGCCTATTCTCAGATACACCCGGTATATACGTAAGAATTACTTTGTAATAGTCCCGTCCGTTACGCTTTAAATTATTAATTTTTAAGGAATTAAACAGTCAATCACGATACCTAATTTTGCCAAATAAAAACCTTGTTAAACAGCTTTTGTTTAGAACTATTTATAAAAATTTGACATTGGTAATATAATACGAGTAGAACAATATTATTTTGTAAATAAAAACACGGCAACTGTCCTATCCGTTAAGCGTGGAATGGCCCCATATGGTTAATTAGGATATAAAATGCCACTTATAAGAGTAAAAAATGAATTTTTGAACTTCCGGTTTCGCCGGAAATGATACCAACTTTCGATTTTTAAATGGAATGCCCTATATATTTTTACATATTCGGAATTCTGAGGAAATTCTGAGTCAGACAGCATCCTCAAATTGACCTTTTGACGTTTCGTCATCAGAAAATGTATCATCATAAAGATCAATCTAGAGTGATTTGAACTATCTTATGTTCTTCTAATGGATTCACACAATGCCTGAAAAATGGAAGTTTCCTTAAAAAGTTGTTATTCAGATAGTCCCAGCAGTCTAAACTTGTCAAAATTCGTTTTTCTCAAATAGTTCAAAGCACAACTGCAGTCAGTCATTAAGACACTTCCATGCTTAAAATACCCCATAGAGACCTATACAAAATAATCTATCGGGCGCTACCAGATTCAATATGTGCATTTGTCCATGGTTTTTTTCCGGATACGGCCTGATAGAAAATTTATAGGAAATTACCTATAGGCACACCATAACTTTTACATTTTCCCTATACAGACCGATAGCAAATAATTCAATAAAGGATATATAGGGATATCCCTATAAAACAACCATAAAACATTTGACAAAATTTTATTAAAACCTATGGGGTTCTATGGGGAAATACTAATTTCTATATTTATTGTATTTTCCCCATTGAAACCAATAGCAAATAAATCAAGGGTGGATATCCCTAAAGAACAACCATAAATCCCAACTATGGGTCCTATACATACCGATACACCCTATAGAAACACCATACATTCCGATACAAATATCTATCGGTTTTAACAGGGTCTCTATGGGGTATTTTAAGCAGGGTTGTCACGCGATCCGAAAGGCTGGCGGATGATGACCACAATAAACAAGAGGACCTGAAAATCCAAACGACGCTACAGCAAAACGGATTCTCCAAAACCATCATCAAAAAGGCTTTTAGACCACGACGCCGGTTTATTACCACAGAAGACGATAACAACAAACCAACTTCGAAGGCCTTCCTTCCCTATGTGAAAGGGACAACCGAGAGAATAGGCAAAGTTCTCAAAAAACATAACATTGACACAACATTTACCGCCCTAAGAAAAATCGGTTAAATACTTCCAAACGCCAAACCAAAAATAGAGTTGGAGGCACAAGGGGTGTACGAAATTCCTTGTGACGGAAGGTACGTGGTCAGTGGCGTAGCGACAAATTTCGGGCCCCCCCGCGAAAATCCTTACTGGGTCCCCTGATTTCAGGTATTTTTTACATAGTTTTATAGTATTGTAAATTGTAAATAAAAAATAATACATCCGGTGACATGATTTTTTTAATTATTTATAAACGAAAAGTAACAAAAAAATAATTTAAAAAAATGTTTAAATGTTCTCCACTGTACCTACTTATAAATTATAAGTAAAATAATAGAAAATAATAACATATTTTTTTAACATAAAAAAATAGCCTTAAACTATAATAATTTTATCAGGCATCCTTGAATAGGTATTGTAAGGTACACTATGTATTTTCGTAACCCGATTCTTTAAGTATAGTGAAATACTTGTTTTGGCATATTCGTGATCGTCTAGTTAATTTACTTACTTTATAAAAATTAGGACTCTACGTTGTGTATTTACTTACATTGATAATAACGTTATTTTGAAATTGGTCAGGTTTAATGAAACACAAGCATTTAATTTTTAAACCCCTGATTTAATTTAAACAAAGACAAAGGGGTGGCCCGTTGAGTCAAAGCACAGGGAAAAGGGACCATAAAAACCCTGTCGACTTACACAGTTCAAATAAAAATAAAATACAAAACAAAACATAGTTATATGGGTCATAATCACAAGAATGTAGTATAAATAATAAGTGAATAAAATAACATAAAAAGCAGATAAA